ACGCAGTGACCCCGGCTGACGGGTGAACGTAGCCAGGTGTCGGCCTGTGCCAGCCTCTGTACAGTGGGTCACTCGCTGACGTGCAGGAGTGAACTGGTGGACACCCGCATCCTGTAGGTCAGCACCACTCACCAGGTTCGTCGAGAACGAGGGGAGGTAGAGACCAGACAGGGTGCCAGAGGGAGCCGCCGGACACGGGAGGACTGTGGAGAAACGAGACAGGACCGGACCCCCAGAGGGGTCAGCCAGAGACACCGCAACCGGCCGACTAAGCGGCGTGAGTGTGGTGCGGTCCCGAAAGAAGGAGCGAGACGCCCCAGAGTGAAGAGTGAAGGTGAGGGAGGCCGAAGCCGACGCGGTACCTGAGAGAGCAGACTCACCAGTACCTGAGGACGCAGACACACCAGCACCTAGAGCAGCAGCGTCGTAAGCACCTAGGGCAGCAGCCTCACCAGTACCTAGAGCAGCAGTCTCAATGCTCGGATCGGGCTGGAAACACCGGTAACAGTCACCCTCATCACTAATAGACACAGCATACATGGCAGAGAGAATAGCATCAAAGTCCAGATCAAAGATGGCAACCCCCGCCCTAGACAGCTCGTCCCAGCGAGGGATCTCGGAGGCCTCCGGGAACTGGTGACGCCATGCGTCCGTCAGGCGGCCAAAGCAGCGCGGAGTGGGGTGCGCACCCCCACACTGCTCACCCGCACGGTCGCCGGTGCGCAGGACGTAGGTACACGGACCAAAACCCCCACCCCGCTGGCGTGCAGTGTACCACTCACGGAGCTGCTGAGGGGACAGGGTCGCACGACCACGCTGCTGCTGCTGGCGCGAGCCACCACCGGAGCCACTCCTCTGCAAAGACCCGCGACCAGCTCCACCGCCACCCCCACCGCCTCCACCGCCTCCGCTGCCTCCACTGCCGCCGCCGCCTCCACCGCCTCCTCCACCGCCGCCTCCTCCGCCACCTCCGCTACCACCGCCACCGCCGCCGCGGCCTCCGCCTCCACTGCCGCCACCGAACCCCCCACCCCCACCTCCACCTCCACCGCTACCCCCACTCCCCCCACTGCCTCCACCTCCACCTCCACCGCCCGCTCCTCCAGCTCCCTTGCCCCCCTTGCCCTTGCCAGGGCGGCGTCTCCCGCTAGGGGCAGACGCCGCACCGACCGACTCAAGACCAAGGAGGTCGGCCGAAGCAGCAGAGGCAACAGAGGGCAGCAGGGGGGAGGGAGAACACCCCTCAAAGATGGGGGTGCGCGGGTCACCTCGAGAGGCTCCTACAGCGACTATGCTCTTTTCTATCGCGAGGAGGGCCTTCTCGAGGAGGTCTACAGTGAGTGTGGTGGGACAGACTGAGAGAAAGTGGTCCCTGACTACTCGAAGGGAGTCAGGGAGGCGAGTGACTAGGAAGTACAGAGTGATGTACATGGGGGGGGGGTTCGCGGTGCAGAAGTCAGCAGGAAGTGCAGCGCGGTAGCGAGTGTCACTAGTGCGGAGGTGCGTAATGAGGTCAGCAACGGTGGGAAAAGAAGCAAGGTCAAGGAAGAGGTACGGCAGCATGAGACGGCTCAGTGCAGCAGTGGAAGGGGAGGAGTAGCGCGCGACTACAGCGGCGTACAAGGTCTGAGCACTCTTGTACTGACTAAAGTGCGCACGCTCGGAGGTAGGGAGGTGGCGACGCACAGCAAGACGTGCAGCAGCATCGCGCGTGGCCCACTGGGAGCGAACAGTGGCGTCAGCATCAGCAGCAGGGGCAGGGGAAGCGCCAGAGGTGAGGTCAAAGAGAGAGAGGCCGTCCGCCCTATCGCACTGTAAGAACAGCTGTAGGTCATCTACCCAGACCTCAAAGTCAATGGCCCGACCCTCAGCGTCAAAAGTGAGGACACTAGGGGTAGCCATGACAGCAGTAGACCAGCAGTGCAAGGAGTAGGGAAAGAGCACGCAGTGACAGAGGGTCTGTGCTCACCGGACAGGGCTGCTCGGGCGGCTCGGCTGCAGGGCGGCTCGGCCGCTGGGCGGCTCGGCGGCTGGGCGGCTCGGCGGCTGGGCGGCTCGGCAGCTGGGCGGCTCGGCGGCTGGGCGGTCGGCTGCACGGCGGCTCGGCTGGTGGGCGGCCGGGCGGCTCGGCTGCAGCGCGGCTCGGCGGCGGGGCGGCTCGGCTGCTCTGCTGCTGGGCGGCTCGGCTGCGCTGCTGTTGGGCGGCTCGGCTGGGCCGCTGACGTAGGGCGGCGGGGCCGCTGTAGAGGAGTGGCGGGGCCGCTGCAGAAGGACGGCGGGGCCGCTGGGTAGTGAGGCGGCGGGGCCGCGAAGACGGGCGGCGGGGCCGCTGCAGAGAAGCGGCGGGGCCACAGTGAAGGGCGGCGGGGCCGCAACGAGAGAGGCGGCGGGGCCGCAGCGAGAGAAGCGGCGGGGCCGCGAAGTTGGGCGGCGGGGCCGCTGAGTAGGGCGGCAGGGCCGCAGTGAGAGGCGGCGGGGCCGCATCGAGAGAGGCGGCGGGGCCGCGAAGACGGGCGGCGGGGCCGCTGAGACGGGTGGCGGGGCCGCAGTGAGTGGCGGCGGGGCCGCAGCGAGAGATGGCGGCGGGGCCGCGAAGACGGGCGGCGGGGCCGCAACGAGAGAGGCGGCGGGGCCGCAGAAAAGGGCGGCGACGGGCCGTAGGCGGCGCGAAGCCGCAGGTAAGGGCGGCGACGGGCCGGGGCGGCTCGAAGCCGCAGGTAGAGGCGGCGCGAAGCCGCGGGAAGGGCGGCGACGGGCCTGGGCGGCGCGAAGCCGCAGGTAGGGGCGGCGCGAAGCCGCCGGTGAGGGCGGCACAAAGCCGCGGGTAAGGGCGGCGACGGGCCGGGAAAAGGGCGGCGCGCCGCAGCCGCTAGGGCGGCTCGACGCGACCGTAAGGGCGGCGCGACGGGCCGCCAGGTGCGACTCGACGGGCCGCTAAAAAAAAGGCAGGCGCGACTCGAGGCGCGCTTCGGTGGGCCCAAGGAACAGTCCCTAGGAGGGGACCTGCTCTGATTCCATGTGAGAATGAGAACGAGAATGGTGTGAACTATTAAAATGAAGTGAGTACAAATATGAAACCCTAATTGGTTGTACCCCCTATGGGATACCCCACTATAGCCTACACAACAGCATAAGCTATAATGTTCTGACACCCTCCTTTGACCTATTATCACCATTCTCTCGCTACCAGGCCCTCAGATACCAGCGTAAAACACGCTGATTAGGCTGATTTTGTAGCTGTGATTTTCGTTTTCCCTGGAAATTCAGCATATGCTTCAATTTTGCACTGAAATTTCAGTATAAACTACCTTGCCACACTGACCATTTTCCGTGTTGCTGTAGAAGTAACACTGACGAATCAGTGTAGTGTCGTGAGTCACACTGAAACGGACTTGACCGATTCGGGAGGGGGGGGGGGGGGGGGGGGGGGTACGCGTGTGTATAGTATGTACCTGGCCCGGGATTCACGAGACCCCACCCACACACTTGGAGATGCCATGCGCTGTACAGCAGATCGCGTGCCGACGTGCTTTGCATCGCTGGAAGGAACTCTCACAGCGGCAAACTTTGAGTTGAATTGGTGATTCAACTTTGTTTTTCTTTTTTACACTGATGGTTCAGTCTACTTATGATTTTTACACTGGCAAAATCAGTATAAAAAAAACCATGAACGCTGATTTGGACACCTGGGCGGCCGGGGCACGCTGATCGATCAGCATACCCTCAAACCAATCTGAGGGCCTGCTCGCTACTCAAGCAACTAGGTTCTTAAGATGCAGCATGCTTTTGAGTCGACATATTCACGCATCTCATGAGCCCGTATGAACCTAAGGCTGCATGCCAATAAGCTGCTCACAACAAACATATCTAACCACATATCCAACCACATATCTAACCACATCCACATGTTTGTGTGGGTGCTAGCATGGCTTTGAATTTTCCCTGCACCCTTCCCTCATATTGCTCAGTTAAACGCGTATTGTGTAGCTCCCCCGCTGGCAATAGTGAAAGTAATACCAAGGTGATGTCGATATCAGTATTAAATAAGCATGATGAAATGATTTTCCGTTATAGATTTGCACTTAATGAAGAGAATACATGTGTCAGCTAGTTTGTATGGTATAGGCTCAATCAAGCAGGGAAAAGTATGTTCTTCATTCAGATTGTTCGTTTTAACGAAGCCGCTGTGATTTTCAAAAGGCGTGTATTCCAAAATCACAAGGAAATCGCACCCAGAACATTCTCAAGGTTCGATTTGTCCGCCCCTAAATGCATGCCAGTCACTCTCCTCTCGTCGCCATCGACATTCACGAATCTTCGGGTGACGACGACAAGCAACGCAGAAATTTCGCGAGTTGAAACCAGCAGCGCGCAAAGCTTACCAATCTCTCCGCGAATCACGGCCTCGCGGCGCCGAGAATGGTGCTTGCGCTTCCGCGCCACATCTCCGCGGCCCCTCACCCCCACGTCTCCATTCGACGCGCTGCCACGTGTCACGCGCCAAACGTTTCTCGCCAAGGCGTTTTCCCTACGGCATCTCTCGTCGTAAAGGTTCCCGCACAAGGCGCTCCCGCTACAGCCGCTGGTTGTAACGCTAGATTCGGGCTCGCAGCGTCGCGTGTTTTCGGGTTACCCGATTCGCGCGCCCTGCTCGCTTCGCAGCGCGAGACAGCCGGAGCAGGCTCACGCACCGCGGGGCGTGGCGGCGCGTTGGGGGTGAGAATGGTGCTCACCGAGTCGCAGCCGCTTAATTTAGGCACACGAGCGCCGGATTTCACGGTAAGTAAAATCATAATAGCAATGACGTGAATTACTGCGATGTAAGAACATTCAATTACGAGTTATCTCTCATAGAACAATCTGGAGATGCGATTCGTATTGGATGTAGTGCGATGCAGCTAAATCCTGCAGTTAGCAATTGAGGGTATGGGCAATGCAAAGTAGGCAGCATGGGCATGGGACGGACATGTCCAGATGGCAGCACAGACGCCAGCCATTCGATGTGTGCTATCGGCGTCTGTGTTTGCGTGTCCAGATGGCTGGCGTTGATGCTTGCGTGTTCTTGCGGGTGTGTGCTATCGGCTCTTTGAGTTCGTTCTCGCTCTGAGCAAATTTTCGCATGTTTCAGCTGGCCTCTGCGATTTTCCCTGCCCTCCCAAGTTTCAGAAACGAGTGACGACAAGCCCTGGGAATGTGCAATCAGCTCGTGGCCCTAATTCGTTACTGTATGCGTGTGTGAATATACCTATGTGCGTACTGTACCAGCTGGTGGAGCCTCTTACGGGCAAGACATGGTCTCTCTCCGACTTTGACGGCCACCCGGCTCTCCTCGTAAGTCCACCTCCTTTCTTCCCCTCTCTCTCCCCCTTCCTCCTCTCTCTCCCCCTTCCCCCTCTCTCACACTTCTCCCTCCTCTTTGACGGCCACCCGGCTCTCCTCGTAAGTCCGCCTCCTTTCCTCTCTCCCCTTCTTCCCCCTTCCCTCTCCCCTTCTTCCCCTCCCCTTTCCTCTTCTCCCCCCTCCCCTCTCTCCCGCCTCCCGTCCTTCTCTCTCCCACCCCTCTCCCTCCTCCGCATTTGACGGCCACTCGGCTCTCCTGGTAAGTCAATCCGGTCAAGTTCACTCCTACCATTGCAGGCTCAAATCTAACCACATGCTCCCTGTCCATATCACTTTAAATCTATGGCCACCCTTGTTGCTGGACGCAATTTTGTTTCCTATTCCCTCTCCCCCTCTCTCTCTCCCCTCCCCACCACACCACCCTTACAAACATCCCCAGGTCATGTTCATTTGCAACCATTGCCCTTTTGTGGTTCACATCAAGTCGCAACTCGTTGCACTTGGCAGCGAGTACATCTCCAAGGTACATTATCGGGTTACATCTCCAAGTTACATCTCCATGTTACATCTCCCAGTAACAGCTCCACCTGTCCCCTCACCTATCCTCATATTTGCAGCATGGGCTGGCTGTGGCTGCAATCTTGGCCAATTCTTCCCCTAATCCTTCGTTCATCCACATGTCATGACCCACCAACCCACCCACCGCCCACCCACCTCTTGTTCCTCCCCGTTCTTCTTCCATGCAGCATGGGCTGGCAGTGGTTGCCATCTTGGCCAACTCCGTTCTCACCCCCTCTCAGCCGCTCCTCCCCTTGTTTGCTCCGCGCTCCCTGCCCCCCCCCCCCCTGCTCCCCATTCTTCTTCCATGCAGCATGGGCTGGCAGTGGTTGCCATCTCGTCCAACTCCGTTCTCACCCACCCTCAGGTATATGCCATGCTTTTTAGGTGTTGATGATCGTGAATAAACGGAGGGTGGATGGGTGGGTGAAGTGAAAGGAGGTATGATGATGATCGTGAGGACGACAGCGATGGGTGGTTGAATACAGGTATGATGGGTGGGTGATCAAGATATGTTGATCATGAATAAAGAAGACAGTCGGCACTAAAATTTTGAGGCGCCTCAAAAGATATGTTGATCATGAATAAAGAAGACTGTCGGCACTAAACTTCACTATAGTCTCAAAATGACTCTCAAGCGGACGCTCTTTGTCGACTGTCAACTTGATTCACGGCCATTCGAATGAGCGTCGTTACTCGAATGGCCGTGAATCGAGTCGGCCCTCTTTGTCTCTCAATTGCCTCTCTCGTACCCACCAATCTCCTCGATATCTTATTCTCTCTGCATTCTACTCAACAACAGGACGGACGCGGGAAAATGGCAGAGGAAGCCGAGCAGTTCAACTTCCCCCTTCTGCTTTTCAGATTCCTCTTTCCTCCTGTCTCTACATCCCCTCTGCTCTGCGGCGCCCCTCTTTTGAGTAGACTCAAAAGTCACCTCTTTTCGAATTCCTCTTTCCTCCTGTCTCTACATCCCCTCTGCTCTGCTGCGCCCCTCATTTGAGTCGACTCAAAAGTCACCTCTTTTCAGATTCCTCTTTCCTCCTGTCTCTACATCCCCTCTGCTCTGCGGCGCCCCTCTTTTGAGTCGACTCAAAGGTCACCTCTTTTCGAATTCCTCTTTCCTCCTGTCTCTACATCCCCTCTGCTCTGCTGCGCCCCTCATTTGAGTCGACTCAAAAGTCACCTCTTTTCAGATTCCTCTTTCTTCCTGTCTCTACATCCCCTCTGCTCTGCTGCGCCCCTCTCCGCTCTCTGCTACAACAGGATGGACCTGACAAAATGGCAGAGGAAGCCAAGCAGTTCAACTTCCCCTTCCCATACCTCTATGACGAGGTGCGTCTCACACTTCATATGGCAGTTCATTCCACACCCAACACTTACAGTGACATTGTGTAATCTGAGTTTTCTCTGAAAGGCAGTTCAACTTTCCCTTCCCATACCTCTATGATCAGGTGTGTGCGTTTCACACTTAGCTTTCTGGAAATCTTTACTAAGGTACTGCAATCAGTTGTGTGTCCTGCTGTGTTGTGAATCCACTCAATCCAGCCAGTTCAGCCTTTCACCCACTCATCTTCCCCCCGCCCTCAACCCCACGGGTCTTGCCCCTCAATCAGACTCAGGAGGTGGCCAAGGCCTACCATGCTGCCTACACCCCAGACTTCTTTCTCTTCAAAAAGGACAGCTGCTGCCCCTTCAAGCTCGCGAACCACGGCCAGCCGGACACGTTTCCCTTTTCTTCCGCTTCCCAATCACCCCTCCCCTTTTCCCCCCTTCTCCCCTCCCCCACGTCCTTCTTTCAGACGCAAGAGGTGGCCAAGGCCTACCATGCTGCCTGCACGCCAGACTTCTTTCTCTTCAAAAAGGACGGCCGCCGCCCCTTTGAGCTCGCGTATCACGGACAGCTGGACGACTCCCGGCCCAACAACGGCCGCCCAGTCACTGGCAAAGACCTGCGTGCTGCCCTCGACTGCGTGCTGTCGGCAAGACCCGTTCCCAGTGCCCAGAGGCCCAGGTAAGCTTGCCTTCACAAGCCCTTTTGAGCTTGCATAAGCCCCTTTGAGCTTGCAAATTTCCCTTTGAGCTTGCAAATGTCCCTTTGAGCTCGCGTACCATGGCCGGCTGGACGACTCCAGCCACTTCAATGGCCGCCCGGTCACCAGGAAATACCTTCAGGCAGCTCTTGACTGTGTGCTGTCTGCACGACTCGTTCCCAGCGCACAGAAGCCCAGGTGAGCCTTGCAAATGTCCCTTTGAGCTCGCTTACCACGGCCAGCTGGACGACTCACGTCCTAACAACGGCCGCCCGGTAACTTCGGGAAGCTCTTCGGAAAGACCTTCGGGAAGCTCTTGACTGTGTGCTGTCTGCACGACGGGTCCGCAACGCACAGAAGCCCAGGTGAGCTTGCAAGTGCCCGTTCAAGCTCGCGTATCACGGATAGCTGGACGACTCCCACCCCAACAATGGCCGCCCGGTCTCCGGCAAAGACGTGCGTGCCGCCTTAGACTGCGTGCTCTCTGCACGACCCGTTCCCAGTGCCCAGAGGCCCATGTGAGGTTCCTGTTGGCAGTATGAAGCCAAGGCAATTCAGTTGTCACTGGCAAGGACCTTTGCACTGCTTTAAAGTGCAAGATTCCTGTTCCATTTATCTGCGTTTCCATATTGCGTTCCCCTGACAACCCTACCCTTTATCCCCCTTTTGTGCAGCATTGGCTGCAACATTAAGTGGGCGCCCGGCAATGAGCCAGACTATTTCGGATAGAATCATTGTTCTCTCACTGTGAAAGTAACTATAAGGCTCACGTGCAAGATGGAGCAGAGCTTTTGCTCGCTGGCTTGGCAATGCTCTGTATCAGTAGCACTGACAAAACGGTCTGTAAGATGCTTTGCCTGTCTTGACTGTATTGCAAAATCCTGCATGGGCCTGGTGCTAACTTGCGAAAGCACCTCGGCCTACAGAGGTACAAATCACTAGTCGTTGGTTTGCCATCCTTATCTGATGCCTCGAATGTGTTTCCCTCATCGAAATACAAGGAAGCTGATGATTCCTGGAGTGGAAGGAATATGAAGTGAGAGTTAAGTCATTGTCCCATCGCGAAGATGTTGGACGTCGTTTCAGGCGCTGCATCTTTAATCATTCAGGGTGGCGGGTGATTTTTGCGTCGGCTCGTAGGTAGGGCAGGCAACTCCAACGGACTCGGAAGCCATTACTCGTCGAAAGTGGAAGGAGGGAGTGGCCACTGTCGTCTCAAGCAATGCACTCGTGCCACTGCTGCCATGTAGTCTGAGGACCTGAGTAGAATGGGATGGGTGAGGAAAGAGGAGGAAAGGTGAAAGGAGAGGTGAAAGCTACTCGAGCAGTGAGAGGGTGGGAGTGGCCACTGTCGTCTCAAGCAATGCACCCGCGCCACTGCTGCCATGTAGTCTGAGGATCTGAGTAGAATGGAATGGAGTAGGGAGGGGGAGGGGAGGGGGAGGTGGGAAGGGGGAGAGGGAGGGGGGAGAGTGGGGCACCATTCTTGCAGGGTGCTCGTGCCGCTGTCATGTTCTACTGGAGATAGAATTGTGGCGCGAGTGGTGCCACTGTAATGTTCGCGATAAAACCGTCATTTATGGAGCTGGAAGATTGGTGTGGAATGGGGTGAATGGAGACAAGGGCGAGGGGAGGCTAATGGGAGCGAGGGAAGGAAGGGGAAGGAGGATTTAGAAAGGTCTCGAGAGCAAAGCAAGGAAGAGTGAGCACGTATTTAGTGACACAACGGTTACCTGCATGCATATTCGGTTTCAGCTGCATATTGGATGTACTTCCTACTTGTGGCCTCATCGCCCTGGCAGGCCAGCGGGGGAACGAAGGGAGGAAGAGAGCACATGGACACATGGAGGTCTCGAGTGGATAGGTGAGTGAGTGAGTGAGTGAGGGAGGGGCGGAGAGAAGGAGAGGCATTGTATCAACTATCAGGCTAAGACACATGGGCTCATCAACACATCAACCCATGGCCACATCAACACACAGAAGTTTGCCACGAAGGGAGAACCTTAACGTCAACTGGACACGTCAACACATCAGAACATTAACATATCAACAATGTTAGTCAGAGTGATGTGAAAGAAACACAAGAAGGCACTACCATGATCTCAAAGAAGAGGCCGACGTATAACCGAGCATAGAAGGCTGATGACCCCCCCTCGTCATCCCCTGCTGCTGTCAAAACCTGCAAATTCATGCCATACCATGAAATGCCATGTCATGCCATGCCATGCCATGCCATGCCATGCCATGCCATGCCATGCCATGTCATGTCATGTCATGTCATGGCCCATCCCATGCCATGCCATGTCATGCCCCATATCATGTATGATTGAATGGATGAGCACCAGTCCTAAGAACGTTGTTCAGTGGCATGCCATCGGGTATCTTCCACTAGAACTGACCAGAAATGGAGCAGAGATGCAAGAGTGAGGTGAGAGGGAGGGATGAGAGAGCGCAGATGCAAGGGATGAGATTAGCTCTGAGACGTCTCAAAACTAGAGAGCGCAGATGCAAGGGATGAGATTAGCTTTGAGACGTCTCAAAACTAGAGAGCGCAGATGCAAGGGATGAGATTAGCTTTGAGACGTCTCAAAACTAGAGAGCGCAGATGCAAGGGATGAGATTAGCTTTGAGACGTCTCAAAACTAGAGAGCGCAGATGCAAGGGATGAGATTAGATTTGAGACGTCTCAAAACTTGAGAGCGCAGATGCAAGGGATGAGATTAGATTTGAGACGTCTCAAAACTAGAGAGCGCAGATGCAAGGGATGAGATTAGATTTGAGACGTCTCAAAACTAGAGAGCGCAGATGCAAGGGATGAGATTTACTCTGAGACGTCTCAAAACTAGAGAGCGCAGATGCAAGGGATGAGATTAGCTGCAACGGGCTTACCAGCAAGGGGTCAGCACCCGTCTTAAACATTTCGTATGCTGTTCTTAGCACCTTGCCTGGGTCCCGGGGAACCTGAGGGAAGAAGAGAAGGGAGCAGGGGAGCGAAAGACAGAGCAGGGGGAAACACTTCAACCAACCACATGGAATGAGCGCGACGTCTGAGAAACAGAGTGGTTGAGGGGTTTCAAGACACTGAAATAAAACAAACTGCAAGTGAAGCAAGAGCACAGGAAGTCGCGCTTTCATAGGTATCCTTCAGTTGAGTTTGAAACATACGGGGATACCCACCTCTGGCATGCTCTCCCAGGTCGATTCCACGCCACTGAGGCACACCTAGATAAACAGAGAAACATTTATGCGTGGGACCCACAGGACACGCACCTCTGGCATGCTTTCTCGGGCCGAGTCCACTCCATTTGCCCTGGCTTCTGAGACAAAACACCAGATGGACTGGCAAGAAGGGCAACGAAAGAGAACAGCCTTGAGACAAAGCACGGCCTTTTGCAGAGAACAAAGCACCCAACATCTCAAAGCACAAAGAACCAGACATGTTACGAGACAAATCACCAAAGGGACTGGCACGAAGAGAACCGAGACTTTGCAAAGGTGGAACGTGAGGTGAAGGCAGAAAAAGAGAGGAAGCGCGTGATATGGAGAGGGACGCAGGAGAGGGGGGGAGAGGGGGAAAGAGGGGGGGGAGGGGGGGGGGAAGGAGGCAGGGGTTGCAAAGGGCACCATATGACAGAGTTACTAATGACGCATTGCATGGCATTGCAGCATTGGCATGGGCATGGGGCATGGGTATCCGGATGGGTATGTGCATTACTGAGTCAGTACACACCTCTTCAGCATCTCTTGAGTTTGCTGCAATGCACGCACGAAACTGTTGTGACGCTTCTGCGAATCTGAGACCCCCAAGGCAGGAGAAGATGGGATCGTCTAAGGCATGTCGTTTAATGCCTTGGGGAAGTTCGCAAAGCGTACATTCACGAAGTGTAGAATGTGGTGAGCACGGGAATGGCTAAACATTCTACGTGTAGAAAGGCAATGGCTAAACATGGGTAACCAGTCAAACATGCCAGTGCATTCAGCACAAAGCAGTGCACGCAGCACAGCACACTTCAACCCCACACAGTAAACCCATCGGACCTGTTGAGGTAGAAGAGTGAAAGACCTCTCTGCCATAGATCTGCCCGGAGGTGGATGGCACGGAAAGGGGAAAGCTATGCAGTATCAGTACAACAAACAAGCAAGAGAGCCTCATCTTGATGAAGTCGAATGGTATTATAAGTGACGTGAGGAGTATGATTTTGCTCGTGAAGTCCGGGTGCTTCTCTGAATCTGCTAACAGGGGATTTGGGACGGGGTCGAGCAACAATGCAGCCTCGAAATTTGCTATGTGTGACTCTTTTAGGCGACTCAATGGCACTGAGATTCTCAGTAGACGGTCACTTACAGGGAATCTGGGCGGGGTCGAGCTCTAATGCGGCCTCGAATTCAGCTAGCGATGCCTCCACCTCGTTCTGCTTTCATGTCACGACAGGCCATGCGCGTGATACCAAGCCTCGCCGTGCCATGCCATGTCATGCCATGCCGTCCCATGCCATACCATGGGATAGCATGCCGTGTGTACCATGGTCGTGCCAGGCCATGTGATGACACGATTGAGGGGAAGACCGACAATAAAGGGTACAGATAGGTTGGGGAACGACGGGCACATAATGGTATTATGAATGACCAGAGTGGCAGAGAGATGGAAGAGATAGAAGAGGAGCGAGAAGGAAGATAGATTCACGGAAAGTAAAGATTTTTGAGAGAGCACATTTTGCAACCTCGATAAATAGCTGCATGCCACGTCGGATCGCGTCGCGTCCTGCTTTCTCCCTCCCTGTTCCAGACGCTACGTCAGCATTGGCTGTTGCTGCAGGGACAATCCCAGCACCCCGTCTCCCTCGCGCAACTCCGACTAACTCCCGAGTGATTCCTGGCCGTTGGATGGCACCTCCTGTTAACTTATGGGAATCTCTTGGCCGTTGGATGGCAGATCCTTGTAACTCCATTCGTCTCCGCAATGCACTGACTCTGAGTCGTCTCCGGTCCAAACAAGAATCTCGGGATGATCCATACGGCTCCTTAGCTCGAATCCCTCCCAACCACTCTGCACCTATTCGTCTGACTCCAAATCCGGATCCGTGAGGTCCGGCGCATATTTCGCTGGGGTGACTCAGTTCATGATTTTCTGCGGAGCCAATAAATTCTCGCCGACCCGCTCTCTCGACTTCGTGCCATCTTAGGCTAAAGCATGCACTTTCGGAGCCACGGGGGAGCTGCTGAATCCGGATTGGTGTGGAGAGAAGACCAGCCGAGGGAGTGATGATTCTAGAAGTGTTAGGAGCTGCTGGGATTTGAGCCGCGGCCCCTGGCATGGCCAATGCTGACGAATGAGAGATGGAATTAGAACTGTGCTACTGAGAGGAGGGATATCAGACTCTATCAGCGTGAGATTCGTGCGAAAGGTGGCGGATTCAAACGCAATAGATTCGTGTCACATTCAATCAGCAAGAAACACCATCCGATGACTCTCAGCAGCATCAGAGAGGCAGAGGCTATGGAAACAGCCAGCAGGGACTAGTAGCACAGCAATATGAAAAGTTGGTATTTGAAAAGCAGCAAAACTTTCACCAAGCTATCTGAGAGCCATCAGTTCTAGACAATGTGGCTCAGGGCGTGTCCAGCGCGTACATTTTGGGAATATTAGTACCTTCACACGTTTCCCGGCTCAAAAAATCCCACTGTACCAAAAAACGAATATAAGGTGAGTCGAGTCCGAAGGATTGGGCCTTCCAGCGCGCGGACACAACCCTCTGCACACAAATTTCTACAGTTCGTGGAAAACGAGGTAACTGGTTGCCTCGTCTATCATCGCACAGAAATTCACGCACAAGCGAAAATTCCACGCTTGAACGAAAATTACTGTAGCGGGCAGGACGCAATGCTGTACCCTTGTTCGCGCGCACACTGATTCCAGTAACGTGTGTTAGACGATTCGTCGTACGCGCAGCGGGCGTGCCGTCTTGTGAACGGAAGCTGATCGTGTCCAACCTTTTTGTAAAATGCAGTGTTACAATAGGAAATGTGGTAACTGAATGGGTTTATGAACTGTAAATGTACGCGCTGGACACGCCCTCAGCAAAACAACCGCCAAATCGGCCCTCGAAAATGGAGGTGGCCCTTGAAAATGGAAATCCCAGTTGAGCGGGGGAGTTCCTAAGGGACAGGTGCTTCCCCAGGCCAACAAAAATGCAGGCTCGGATGCACTCGAGAGGCATCGAGGGCGTGAGGGTTAGAGTCCGAGGCGAAAGCCGAGGTTTGTGGCGCCTAGTTTGAATATTATGGGTTGCCATCATTGGCTGATAGGTGGCTCGGAAAATATTACGTTTGACCATCACAGGATGCTCTGGAAGGTCGAGGGTGCCAACGAAGTACCCTGTCGGTGCTTAAAACGGAGTAGTCGTTATGCGTCAAATGAAATAACAATCAGTTGAAGAATCATGTAGTGTCATATACAAGAAAAAATGCAACCAAACTCACAAGTTTTATCACTGCTTTACACCCATTCCGGGAAAGGTTGATAAGTTGCCACAGTAAATTTCACAAGGGCATATCCATGAATCATTACTTATCTTTTTTGTCCTCCACGAACTCAATGTAGTCTTCCTCACCTCCCCAGCCATCTGCACAAGGAAAACTCAGGAGATAAGTATACAAGGTACTAGCAGTCGTACACCCATTTTGCATGCAAGCTCATCCATGTAAACTTCCTCTGCCTCATCCTCAGGCACAACCGACTTTTCTGCCTTGCGGCGCTGCATGCTCTCCTCACTGCGCATCGCATCATCCCCCTCACACCACCATTCAGAACCGAACCACTCCGCAATCACCTCCCCACCGCACCCCACCCACACCCACCGTTCCCTTGATCCATGTAGACCTCCTCTGCCTCATCCACAGGCGGGGCAGGCTCCTCTGTCTTGCGGCGCTGCATGTTCTCCTCACTGCGCATCGCAAACGACGTCTTGGCCACCACCTCGTCCCGCTGCACTGCTAGCTGTGCTATGTCATACTCCTCCTCCTCGTCCTCCTCTAACAGCTCTTCTTCCCTGTTGGGTGGTCATGGAAGCAAGCAAGGGCAATGAGGGAGCGCAGGAGGAGGGGAGGAAGGGATGTCTTTTGGCCACCACCTCATCCCGCTGCACTGCTGGCTGTGCTATGTCATACTCCTCCTCCTCGTCCTCCTCTAAGAGTTCCTCCTCCCTGTTGTGAGCAGCACGGGGTGAGTGAAGGGGAGAGAGTGGAGTGTGGGGAGAGGGGAGAGAGGAGAAAGGGGGGAGGAGTCTGAAATCTTTTAGTGCTTGACTAGGATGGGACTAGGAATGTGGGGGTGGACTAGGATGGGACTAGGAATGTGGGGTGGGACTAGGAATGTGGGGGTGGACTAGGATGGGACTAGGAATGTGGGGGTGGACTAGGAAATGGGGAGGCAAGGGGTTGGGGGTGCTGGGCGTCAGGGGTGCTGGGCGTCAGGGGTGCATGGGAAGACTTGAAAAGGCTTGGAACTTAGAAAAGGAGGTGCGTGCTTACGTGTAATTGAGTATTGTCGGGCTGATTCCAAACCCGTAGAATACCTCTTGAAAACTTGTCAGCACAGTGACTTTTGGATCGGCTCAGAAGTATGGAGAGACAGGTGCGTGCTTACGTGTATCCCAGTATTGTCGGGCTGATCCCAAACCCGTAGAGTACTTCCGCAACGCTTTTCAACGCAGCTGCATGGTGTGAGGGCGGAAAGGGAGTCCGGGAGGCGAAAGAGGGAAACGGAAGTGAAGCGGGGGAGAAAGGGATGGCTTTTGAGTCGACTACAAAGTGGAAATGGAACAAAAGGAGTGTTTAGAAGGTGAGAGCGGGAAACGGAAAGGGAGAGGAGGGGAGAAAGGGAGGGGCGTTCTTGAAGCTTCCAAAGGCTTGTATAAGGAGATGATGAAGGGGAGGAGTGGAGAGGGCGTGAAGGGAGGAGGGGAGAGGATGGGAGGAAGGGAGTGGATGTAGAGGTTGGAGGTGGAGTGGGAGGAAAGCAAGGGGAGGAAGGGAGAAGATGTGAAGGGAGGAGGGGAGAGAATGCAAGGGGAAAAGTATCTCATGTTCTCACCATCGCCTATGTACCACATGTTTTCCTTTACCACTTGCACCGTGCCCTCTAGAGAGATGGCACTCGCACCCAGATAATGAAGAGAAGTACCCACCATCCCCTATGCACCACATGTTCTCTTTCACCACACAAGGATTGATTGAGAGTGCAAAGAGATTGAAGAGAACGAGGGTGTCTCACCATCGCCTATGTGCCACATGTTTTCCTTCACCACTTGCACAGTGCCCTCTAGTAAAATGGCACTCGCATTTAGAGAATGAAGAAAACTTATTGGCCATGCACCACTTGCACAGTGAATCTGTATGTCTCACCATCGCCTATGTACCACATGTTTTCCTTCACCACTTGCACCGTGCCCTCTAGCGAGATGGCACTCGCACCCAGATCCGCTGCAAGAAAAATGACAACAAGAAAGAATGGAGCACACAAGGTAAGAATTTGAATGAAGAGTGTAAGTAAAACGGGCATACTGTGACTGGGAAAGCATGACGGCAGGAGGAAGTGGATGGGAGTTGAGGGAAGGAGAACAAGAAAACGTGGCGGATAGGAAGCGGATAACGGCCAGAGGGAGGAGCAGAGCAGTGGTGGTTACTCGGTCGTCAGCAGGGGACTCTTCTTGAGGTGCCTCAGATGACTATTGACCAGGCATGGTTACTCGGTCTTTTGGAGGGCCAGAGAAGTTGTGCTACTGTGCTATCTTGATTGTCGGCAGGAGGCTCGTTGGAGTAAATATCTGGGTGCTTTATTGCGGAGGGCTCGCAGGAATATTAATCCGCGTGAATTTCCTCCCATTCAGACTGACTTCTTCTGAGTCAACTCAATAAAGGGGCAGCGCAGTGGTGGTACCTTGATCGTCGGCAGGAGGCTCGTTGGAGTATATATCCGGGTACTTGTCTGCTGGAGGCTCGCTGGCGTAGTAATCCGTGTGTTTCTCCTTCCATTCGGACGGCTCCCCTGCTGCTGCTGACCCTGCTCCTCCTCCGTACTTGGGCTGAGAGAGAAGCAGCAAAAAGAGAAATAGAAATAAGAGACGCAGGTGAGGAACCTCAGGGCCTTTAAGGCCACTTCAATGTCAGCTCAAAGCCCTCTGCAGCTGCTGCTGACCCTGCTCCTCCTCCGTACTTGGGCTGAGAGAGAAGCATAAGGAAGAAAAGCAGAAGAAAGAGAGCAGATGAGGGGACACACCAGAAGCAATACGAGAGACATCAATGAGTCGACTCGGTAGTATAGCTACAGAATTTCCTGTAGCTACTGACCCTGCTGATAAAATTGGGCTGAAGACGCGCAGACGAAGTAAATTGCAGGATTTCCTTTTTTACGCGCCTCAATAAGAGTGATATGCGAGAGAGAGGGATGTTGTGAATGCGAGAGAAGAGGGACTCGTGAATGCGAGCGAGAGGGAAGTCGTGAATGTGAACAACTGACTGGGAGAGGATATGGCAAATGTGAGAGATAGGGACGCTGGGAATGCTGGGTTCTGAGCGTCAGGAGAGGGGAGGAACTGGGGGTTCGCCGAGCCTTCAAATGGTTCGTTACTTCTAAGGCGGGCAAGATTCGGTAATTCTGGAACCTCTGGAGAATGCAACACCTGAATATAAAGCTCAGGTGAAGCGCAGCGCTGCGAGGAGCTGCGTTAGACTGCGCTGAGCCACGCTGAGTTTGTGTCAGTTTTGCGAGCTCTCAAAAGTGATACAAGCATTGGCGCTGAGTAGAGCTGAGCTGAGCAGCTTTGCGCTGAGCTTTTGCTCAAATGCGAGCTTCGAGCTCCACGAGGCCACGGAGGGTGACGAGACGAGACATTGAACGTCAGCTCAACGACATGTGAGAAGCGATATCGACGACTGAACGCGCACTGAAGCACGGAAACGCAGCCGACATGTGCCGAAAAGGTGGCGAGTTGTACGTGAGCAATGACGGGAAGAACTGGAAAAAAATCATGAAGATGCTGCGTGTGTGTGCAATGAGAGACGAGACATAAACCATTTCACTGGAAATACTGCGCTTACATCACCGTCGAGCGACATGATGGCGCTGAACCAAGGCCGACCTCTGAACGCAGGCGAATGAAGAACCGTCGAACGAAGCACCGTCGAACGAAGCACCGGTTTCGACTCTTTGTTCGCAACTTGCTGAGCGCAGACTAGTCAACGTAGAGTCGCTTAGATTCGGACGGACCTAAAATAGTTTCCGGACAAACGACTGGCCGGTCGACTGATGCCTTCTGCAATGCTCAGAATAGTTGAGAAAACCGAAGTACTACCCGTTTTATTGGGCATCGCCTGACATAAATTAAAGCGCAAGCAAGAGCCTAACATCTACGAGACATGTAGCCATTGTAATGTTAGTCGCCGGGTGCAAAAATATGTCGGAAACTGCTCATTCGCAGTGCACCTACGTGAAAGATGCTGTCCCTAAGACGAAACCTACGTGAATCAGCGGTGATGTGAGCTATGCTCGTTGATACTCGAAACCCAATAGCTCACTTCCACTCAATCAAGACCTACTTTCTCGTACTTAGTATCTCTCTGAGTTCCGAAGTTTGCGGAGTAAAGTGGAAATGTGGAATCTTGATGACTTGGAAACAGCCATAAATAGTTCACTTGAAATCTCTTCACCTCCACACAAAACTGGATGCCTGCAAGTTGAAATCTGGAGATTGCATGGGTGTGTGCCTAGTATAGTTTTCTTCGGTTGAGAGGGTTAATTATGCTAATAAAATGGCTTAATTTTATTCCAAAACGGTTTGGTAGGGTTTTGCTAGTTGCTGAGTCCAACTGGGTCGCTGTGGTTGGTTGGTCTGGCTACTCTGCTTGAGTCTGGAACTTCTTGCAGTTGCAAGCGGACCTTGGGGATCTCCGCTGCCTGTCCCCACGGAGGAAGGGGATCTCTGCTGCCAGAATAGGGAAGCCATATTTTTTTGATTGGAATTCGCGTTGTCCCTGTCTCCCTCCTATATTTTGGGTTTTCATTTTGATAGGATCTACGTGAGGAGAGCGTGGATGACATGGAAGTGAACGATACACGAGCTCGTTATTTGTGAGGGTAGTTTCGCTCGCAGGAAACACTGGAAACTAACGAAGGGAAACATATCATTTGTCATGTTTCCTTCGTCCCAACCGCTGATTCTCGCCGTTATACGATGCTTCGTTCTTATGCAGGGCACTTTCCTTGTTCCTTTTTTATCTCTTGCTTTACGTAAAAAACTCGGCCATACCCAATTCCCAAGATTGACCACACCTGAAGCGCGATCGCCCTTCGCGGAAGCAGATTGGTTGGACTTGGACCTTTGCGGCGGGAATGAAGCTGAATGGATGAAGTCCAGCTTGTGACCCGCGAGCCGACCTGGCATGCCATCCATCCGTGCATTTCGCAAGAAATTTTGCTGACGAATCTGAATGTAAGAGCGCGTTTTCACGCGGATGAAATCTGACACCTGCCGTAAGAGCTGAAGAGTCTTTTTCGACATGACTGGAGATTTCCACCATAACATGCAAATCCGAATCGTCCCTGACTTCAAGATTTTCCATTTAAAGAGTGCTTTTTACCGAGGCTCCCTACCAGCTGGCCTGGAAATCCCGTGCGTGGGATGCAGGTTTGGCTGGAACCGCGTTTCAACCCCCCCAACCCCACCAGCCCAACTATAAATACCAGCTGGTTCTTCCCCATTCATTCAGCAGCTTCCATTTCTCATTTTCAGAATCAGCCTTTTCTAGATGGCTTGGCCCCAGCAGCACTCCTCTCATCAGGGGCTCTTCCCTCCCTCCAACTCAATTCCTGCCAACCCAAGTCCCCTCCTTTCATACTTAGCCGTTGAAGCAATTTCCAGCAATGTTCAAGCCCCTTTGCTTGACCAAAATCAATCCCCGCGCTTCGGACCCAGATTAGGGTTTGCGCATCGACCAAGAGCACTCACGTGCGAATATTTGAAACTTGGATGGCAGCTAGGATGACCGCTCAACTGATTTACTAATTTGACATCCAAACCCTAATTCTTGGAACATAGCCCCTGCCGCTATGCCGATCGGAGCACTAGTCGCCATTGAGCCCCGCGGCTCAGTTGGCGGATCGCGCGGAGATTCCCACGCGCACGTTCATGTCCACGTGCCACGCGCTGATTCGCGGCTACTGAGCCACGTGGCCTTCGAGGCGACAGATGACCTGGACCTGGCCCTTCAATCGCTCCACGCGCGTCTCAAGCCGCTTCTCGCGTCGGACAGCGAAGGCGACGTACACAGCCAGTTGCAGGAAATGGTATTGGAAGGCGCGCAACAACATGCCGACGTGGTCAACGGTCTCCTCTACGCGATCCTCACCGCGTCGCACAAAGCCGGACCGCCGCCGTCGCCGCCGTCGCCGCCGTCGCACGCGGCTCCTGCCGCGGCCGTGCGATTGTTCGGAATCCTGTGCTCCGTGACGCGCGATCATCACGCGTTGCTTCTAGCGACGCTTCAGCGATTAGCGAGTGACAAGTGGAGCAAGCTCCAGGACCACGTGCGCGCACAGGTCATTTGGATCCTCCGGCAGTTGGTTCAGCTGGCCGTTCAGGAAGCAGAAACGCTTTTTCTCTGCCTTTTCCGTCAGGTCTCCGGCGGCGATCTTAGCGTGGGAAACGTGTGGTTGGCTCGGCAATTACTCGACATCCTCCGTACGAACACGCAGTGGCTTTACACTCTCCCGAATCTTCTCGCCCTGTCGTTATACACGTTCCTTAGGCTATTACCAGACCATGCGGTTAGTAAGGCGCCAACCGTAGTAGAGCTGAAGCAGCAGGAGGTCGCGTTTTCCACGCAGCTGATTCGGGAGCGGTTTCAGGACTGCCTGGTGATTGGTCGCGACTTAGTGCGTCTGCTGAAGGATGTAGCGTTGATTCCGGAATTCGAGCCGATTTGGAGGGACTTGGTGCATAGACCGGAGACTATGGGCGCGCCCGGGTTTTCCGATTTAGCTCAGTTGTACGTTGTGCGGACCCCCACGCGTTTCATCACATCGCGAGTTACGCCCGAAATGGAGTCGCAGCTTCGTTTTCTTCTCGCACACGTGCGCATGGGCCACCAGCGGCGCTACCAGACGTGGTTTGCCACCCGGTTTCTCGCCGCCCCGGAGAGCGAGTCCCTCGTGGCGGATTTGATTCGTTTCGTCTGCTGCTCGGTGCATCCGACCAATCAGGTGCTGCAATCCGACGTGGTGCCACGCTGGGCGATTGTCGGTTGGCTGCTCAAATGCTGCAGAAGCTGTCACATGGAGGCAAATGCCAAGCTGGCGCTCTTCTACGATTGGCTCTTCTTCATGCCCAAGACGGACAACATCATGAACATCGAACCCGCGATGCTGTGCATGGTCCATTCCCTTCCCAAATACGCCATTATGACCAACTCCCTCCTGGAATTCCTCTTCCTCCTTCTAGACCACTACGACGCGGCGCATAGAGAGGTAATTCTCCGTGGAATTTCCGCCTCGATCGACATTTTGGTCGTCAAGGGAGTCGTGCCTAGTCTCGAGCCGCTAGCCACAAGCGGCTTCATTCCGACGAAGCTTCGTGAGCGGCTTCAGGCGCTTTTTCCTGCGCATTGCCGGCTCGACGCGTCTCCGCATCGGTACTTACCCCCCTCACCCTTGCATGACCCGCATTATGCGGAAAGAGCTGCGGCGGCGGGAATACCTGGGGGTGGGGGAGGGGCAGGGGGGAGAGGGGGCCAAGCGCGGGGGAGCGGGGCTCTGGTGAAATCCCCAAGCCCTTCCCCCCCGCATTTGGCAGCTGAGAGGGATAACATGGGGAATATTGTTGGCAGCGGAGCGGGGATAAGGGCGACGGAGGAGCAGCGGGGGAAGGAATGGGAGGTGGTGAAAACGGGGGAAGGAGGTGCAGGCGCTGGCGCAAGCCGTCCTGTGGGTGATTCTGCTGCCTCCGCCGCCGCCGGGAAGGGCGCGGTTGACGGAAGTGGGTCCACCGGTGTCGCAAGGGCTGGGGAAGATGCGGAAATGGGGGAGGCTAGCGCTGCAGGGGAAGACCAGGTTGGCGGGAAAGACCCCGGTGGAGCGGAGAAACGAGGGAAGTCCGCGGAAGGCGCAGAGATGGAATCAGGGGAGCACGGCGGAGGGGAGGGTGATGTGGCGGAGGGAGAGAGTGGTAAAGGGGACCGGAAGAGGAAGAGGGAAGAGAGGGAAGAGGGAGAGGAGGCGATTGAGGCTGGGGATGTGGAGGCTGGGGAGGTGGAGGGAGGGGAGGTGGTTGAGGAGGAAGGGAAAGGAGAGCACAGCGAGGAGAGAGAGGGCATGGACGGGGATATGAAGGCCATAGAGGGTATGATAAAGAGTATGGAAGAAGCTGCGGCGGTAGGGGACGGGGCGAAGGTCATTCGAGAATTTGAGGCGTTCCTGGTGGCTTTAAGAGTTGAGTATTCGAGGAGAGAGGGTGACGGGCGGAAGGCGCAGGGGGGAGCTGACGGGAACGTGCACGGGGAAACTGAGGGGAAGGCGCGAGGGACTGCGCACGGGAAAGCGGAAGACGGGCAGGAGATGGAAAAAGAGGGCAAGGGGGGAATGGTGGGGATGAAGGGGAAGGGAAAGAGGGCGAGAGAGGGATGACATGCGGTGAAAGAGGAGCAGCAGGATGAGGAAGACGCGGGGCTGGATGAGGAAGACGCGGGGCTGGATGAGGAACGATCTGACAGGAGCGTCGACTCGGATGTGACTACAGAGACGGCGAGCGATGCTTGCGAGGATGGCAGGAAGGAGGAGGAAGCAACGGCGTCAGCAACAAAAGCTGCATCAGTTGGGGAGGGAGCCGAAGGATCAGGTGAAGCGGGCAGGAACGACAGCAGCAGCAGCCGACGGGGAGTGAAGGGAGTTAGGTCGAAGAGAGCTCGCGTAGCAGCGTCGGTAGATAAAGCAGCAGCAGGCGTATCGACAACCGTAGCAGCAGGATCAGGTGCACAATCCCTTTCTGAAGAATCACTAGAGGGATTCAATAGCAGAGAAGACGCAGCAGCTAAGGTAGCTGGCCTATCAGATACGTTTCTAGCTAAAATCTCCAAGGCTATCGACGAAGAACGCGCAGTCAATTTAGGCACTGTTAGATTCCCTCGCTTTAGGGAGCGCAGATCACGTAGGAAGGAATGGGCGCTGATTTCCACTAGGTTTTCCCAGTGTTTCGCCAAAGTAGGCTCCGCTCTGTTCCCGTCCTTAGCCTCCCTGTCTCCTAGTCGGTTGAACGAGCTGCTGCTGCCGCTACCCCGCCTTCCTACCGCCGTGGGAACTTTGGAAGGTGCTTCTAGGGACGGTGTCAATGGGAACGATGCTTTTGGGAATGAGGCTGCTACTGGGAAGGATGGTTCTGGGAGTGGTGCTTCTGAGGACGGGACATCTGGGAACGGTGTATCTGCTGGTGCAGCTGGTGTGAAGGCGAAGCTTGGAACGCCATACGCGTTAGAAGGCGCCGCGTTATCAAACTGGACGTCAACTTTGATGGTTTTGCACGAGTATGTGGTGCAGAATGAGTGGTGGCGGAGAGAATGGAGGGCGGTTGGTGGTGGGGAGGATGGGGAGGAGAACGAGGAGGAGCAGAGAGAAGAGGCAAATGCGATGGACGCTACAGGAGGGGAGGAGGGCCAGGGGAGTGGAAAAGAAAAAGAACATGGGGAGGACGAGCAGGAAAATGAGGGGAGTGACAAGAAAAAGGGTGAATGTGGCGGGAATGACTTGAATTCTTTACTGCCAGTAGAGGAGTTGCTTATATCGTGGCATGACATGGGCAAGCCGGTTACTGCCTGGTTGCTCTGCGTGGGTGCAGCAGCAGCGGAGAAGGAACAACTGAGTGAGGCCGATGCCCTTGCAGCAGCAGCAGCTATGGTAACCAACGACAGGGAGGATACACCACCTGGTCTGGAAGTTGCCTCTGGCAGAGAAGAGAGTGGGGCGCAGCGAGGGGGCTCTAGGGGAAAGCCAGTGGTGGAATGTGTGGGGCAGGAGGGGGAGAAGGAAGGCTCAGGGAATGGAAACAAGAGGGTGCCAGCAGAGGTGGTTTTTGGTCTGTATGAGCGGCTGGTTGGGCTGTGCTGGGGGCGAGATGAGGAGGGGAGCAATGAGGTGGAGGATGCGAAGGATGAGGGAAGGGATGAGGGGAGGGATGAGGGGAGGGATGAAGGAAGAGATGATGGAAGAGGTAAGGGAAGCGATATGGAGAAAGATGGAGGGGGAGACGGGGGGAATGGACGTAAGGGCGGATTGGTGGGCAAGGGAAAGAAAGGAGGCATTGATGCAGGCAAGCAGGCTTCGTCAGCAGGAGCAGCAGCAGCAGGAGAAGAAGGAGCAGCATCAGAGACCAAAGCAGAGGTAGAGACAGGAGCGGACAAAGTGACAGCAAGGTGCAACGGCGTGTTGCGTCCTCTTGCTGCACTACACCCTCTCTCCCTTCACCACCACCACAACCATCACCACCACCATCCCCACTTCAGATATCCCAACCATCAACTTCTTCTGGCATCAGCAGTCCACATGGACTTGCAGCGGTGGATCCTATTGGACGGCTCGAACCTTCTCTTCCAACGTGTCTCCCACCAAGCCCTTCGCCTACTGCCCCATGCCACATCCGGCTACCCTCCCCTGCTGCACCTGCTGCTTTCTGCTGCTGACCCGCCTGCCATTGCTGCTGTGCAGTCTGCTCTTGTATTGGGCGAACTCTCAGTATTCAGGAAAAGGCCCCCCTTTATCCCTAGGAAGAGTGAAGTTTCTGCGGTTGGGAGGAGTAAGGAGGCGAGGAAAGGAGACCAGCAGCAGAAGCTACTGGAAGAGCAGAGGAAGCAACAGCAGCAGCAGCAGCAGCAGCAGGTGTTCATGTCGGTGGTCGGGGACAGTTGGTCCTGGGACGGGCAGGAGCAGCAGTGGTTGTGGCAGTTGGCAACTGCTGAGGCTGTTGGTTGGAGCAACACAAACAAAGGGCTTGTGAGAGAGGAACTGGAGGACTATGTGGATAAAGAGCAGCAGCAGCAGAAGGAGACACAGCAGCAGGAGGAAGAGGTTCCCCTTCCGTTGCTTCTTCTACAAGCTAGTTCTGCTGCTGCTGCTGCTGCTGCTGCTCCCAGCAGCAATCCTTCTGCTGATACCAGCGACGTTCCCACCAGCAAGTCTGCTTCCTCTCCTACCAGCCACAGCGCATGGGAAGGGCCAAGTTGTGAGGCACTCGCATGTCTGGAGATGCTGCTGCTGCATGCAATCCCGTCCGGCCCCCTCCTCTCTGGAGTTGGATTTGCAGAAGCAGGAATATAATTTCCGGTCCCGTCAGCTGATTGTAGCTGATAAAGTGATGGCACTTGTGACCCTTGTAGTGTTTGTTGTCCTTGTCCAGCAGGACCAAAAGAGAAGGAGTTGTTCGACCCATCACTTCCTTGTGGTGTCTGACCACGCTGATAGCTGGAGCCATCAATGCTCATAGGAGTTGGAAACATCTGGTTAAGCGACAAGACGGCAGCATTAACACGTTGTTGAAGATTTGCTGGCTGGTAAGCACCTTGATATTGGTAAGGTCCAGTCGGTACGAAGTTGGACTGTTGTCCCGGTTGACTAGAAGAACCAGTGACTGCAGCTGCAGCTGTTGTGGCTGCTGATGCTGCTATTGCTGCGGCTGCTGTCGATGATGCCGCTGCTGTAGTTGTGTGTACGGGCTGATTGCTCAATGGCATGCCGTACATCGGTTGTTGCTGATATTGTTGTTGTTGCTGCTGCAGATGTGAATTATCAGCAGCTGGAGACGCTGTTGGGCGTGATGGGCTCGTAACAGAAGAGCCATTGTTGGACCTTGGAGATCCAGACATAGTTGTAGAGTAGGCAGGTGGAAGCTGTTATAATCCTAAGTGGCTCTCATACCATGTTAGAATTGAAGCTGTCTGAAGAGGATCGTAGTCTTAGGATAGTAGCTTCCTGTAGCAGTGGAAGTCTTATATGAGTGACTTGTAACAGGATCAATATCTCTGAAATCAAGTATATTAAGAAATGACAAACATACAGAATATATACTAGGATAAAGTACCTATTCGCCTAATGTACCTATTAGCCTGAAACGGTACGTGACTATTCGCGATACCTACAGCTACTGCTGACGTCATCCTAGGGCGCGTAGCGCTTTGCTGACGTCAGCCTATCGGTACTTTTACTGTACTAACTATACTACACGAATTCCTTGAAGTGCACAAGTCTCGATATTATCTCAACACGCTATATATTCTTCGCTCAATCCTTCGTTCGATGTATTCTTGTCTCGATAGTGCAATCCTCGCTCGCTCACTCAATTGCACTCGTAACACTTGGTATCGGAGCCTACGATCTTCTCTCGGACCGCACTCACACCTTCGCTTCCCCATTATCTCGATTTTGGGGGGGGGGGGGGGGGGGGGGGGGGGTAGACGTCTCTCGACGACCAAGCACAGCCGTTCGTAGTGCTTTCTCGTAAGCACGCACTGTCAGAATCCCAACCACTAGACCATTGGGATAAAAGGGCTTGTTTCAGTAGCGGGTCAGTGCACCCATAACCCCCCAGGACAACGAGCCTGTAACCCTTCCCTAGGATCAATCGGGGATCACCAATGGACCTCTGACACCCCCCCGCACTGGGATGCCTGAAGTGCACACACTGGGATTCGAACCCGAGACCTTCGCTCTGATAACATGTCAGAATCCCAACCACTAGACCATTGGGATAAAAGGGCTTGTTTCAGTAGCGGGTCAGTGCGCCCATAACCCCCCAGGACAACGAGCCTGTAACCCTTCCCTAGGATCAATCGGGGATCACCAATGGACCTCTGACACGCACGGCCACGACAGAGGCTCTCGCTGAACTTGCCCGACACCCCCGCCATGGCAGAACTTAATGTCGCGACACTGACACAGGAGCAGCTAGACCGGCTCATGCGCCAACTCGAAGAATCGGCGCTTGAAATCGCCACACTCACGGCGGAACGCGACTCCGCTCGCCAACAATCGACAGTGAATGCACTAGTACCAACAAACGCACCTGCACACTCGGAGGAGCCGATTGTTATCTCCTCCGGCACACCGACACAGAACGACAGCGTGGGACAGCGCTCAGGCGTAGCCAGTGAGGGCGCTGCTCACTCAATGCCTGGCATGGAGCGAAACAGAGTCACACCAAGCCCACGGGAGCCCCACGAAGCCCGTCGGCATGTGGAATTTGCAGCGACAAGTGGCGAGTACGCCATCACGGCGCCAATGCCACTCAAGCCGCAGCGTCCGTCTTGTTTCGACCCAAGTCAACGTGGGGGTCCGACGGTTCAGTCGTGGGTCTTCACGATGAACGTATTCTTCGATGCGAACTACATCGAGTCGGACGCAGCGAAGATTCGCTATGTTGTTTTGCTGCTGAGGGGCCCTGCCATGGACTGGTGGCGAGTCATCGTGACGTCGCCACGCGCCTACGAGCCACCGTCGCAAGAAGACGGGCCCACGGGCCCAGCCGTCACCTGGAGTTCATTTTGCGAGACAGCCCAGTACAGCACGTGGGATGCGTGGTGCGCAGGACTTCGGGCGCGTTTCGAGCCGATCGCGGCTTCGATTTCAGCACGTCAGAAACTGTGCACTTGGCGGCAGCTCGGATCGGTTCAGGACTACACGAGTGGATTTCTCACATTATGCGAGCAAGTATGCACGAAGCGGAGTGGGTGGACCGTTACGTCGGAGGGCTAAAGCCAGACATCTCGCACGAAATTATGCTTCGCGGACTCTCGAACTTCAACGAGATTCTCGCGCTCGCCGAGAAAATCGACATCCTACGACGACCGAGACCGGGGTCATACTACCGACAACGTCCTCGGGGACCGATCGAGCACGCCACCGTACACGCTGTTGCGACAAATGCAACTGCCGCACCATTTAAGGGGCGCTGCTTTGCTTGCAATAGGCCAGGCCATCGCAAGAGTGAGTGCCCAGAGGAGCTGAGGCGCCGCGGAACAGAGCAGGGGCGAGAGTCTCAGAGGCCGGGAAACGCCAGCAGTCAGTAGAAGTTGGGCCATAATACTGACGAGACTTCCTGCTCGCCCAACTTCACCGACCCTCACCGAGTCACAGTACCGATTCACGCTATCGATCGGGCTCGGACGAATAAGGAGGGTACATCGACGGATTGCCCAGTACTGATTCACGGGAAAATACATGGAGCAGCAGTGAAGATTTTTATAGACGGAGGCGCAAGTCACAATTTAGTTAATACCGCGACTGCAAGGAAGCTGCAACTGGCACTTAGTCGGTGTTTACCAGAGATCGATGCACGTTTAGTTGACGGAACGCCGCTGGCCATACGGGAAAAAGTGGAGAGAGTAAAAGTCCGATGTGGGGGAAACTTCGGGTTTACACAGGAAATGCTCGCGACGACATTGGATGGGCACGACATTTTACTGGGACGTGATTGGCTGCGACGGTATAACCCGCGAATCGACTGGACGACGGGTAGCTGCACTGTGCGAAATAGTGGTAACTGGGTCGAACTACCTCGCTGGCAGTCGCCTGAGTCTTCAACAGTCCACGTCAACGCCATCACGATGAAACGGGATGTCGCCGTTAGAGCTGATGTGTACGCGGTGGATATCGCGATATTGGAAGCAGCACACAAAACGAGTGATTTTCAGAAACTACTGTCGGCAGTACCATCGGAGCTACAGGAACTGTTGAAACGGTTCCCGGGGATCTTCCCCGATGATTTACCGAAGGGATTGCCACCTCAGCGGGCGCACGAACACCGCATAGAACTAGAACCCGGGGCACAGCCAACTGTATAGCGACAGTTCAGACTGACACAGCCCGAGCTGGACGAGTTAAGGAAGCAGTTAGATTACCTGTTAGAGAAAAAAATCATCCGATCGAGCTCGTCCCCATTTGCCGCACCAATCCTGTTCACACCAAAAAAGGACGGAGGATTTCGCATGTGCATCGACTACAGAGCACTGTGAGAAGATTTGAACAAGAATGAATGAACTATGAATGAAGTGAGTACATATAGGAAACCCTAATTGGGTTGTACCCCCTATGGGATACCCCACTATAGCCTACACAACAGCATAAGCTATAAATATGTTCTGACACACCCCCATAGGCAAAGTGGGGGAGAACAAGGGGTCACAAGACCAGTCATGCAAAGCACAGCAAGCTCAGGGTGGATCACAAAGTCACCACACAGTCCGAGCACAACGACAAGGCCACAAGGCCAGTTCACATGCAGGAGTGCACATATATATATATAGAGCTAGACAAGCAAGAGCAGGTATATATATGTGACAGTACAAGCAAGGTCAAGAGGAGAGCAAGTGAGGCAAGACAGGTACAAGACCCAGCTGAGTGCAGAAGCGCTGATGGTCACAAGGCGCAAGTGCCTTGGTGAACACATCAGCAGTGTTGGCCTCAGAGGCCACGTACGCAAGTCGCAACTGACCACGCTGCTGCAGCTCACGAGCAAGAAAGTAACGGAGAGCAATGTGCTTCGTTCTGTGCTCCAAGCGCTGCTCTCGACACAAGGCCAGCATGGCCTTGTTATCTACGTACAGCACTGGAGGAGAACGAGGCGGCTCTCCAAGGTCAGTCAGCAGGTAGGTGAGCCAACGAAGCTCCTGTGCAGCCATGGCCCCGGCGTAGATCTCAGCCTCACAACTGGAGCCGAGAACAGAGGACGAGCGAGTAGCCCGCCACGAGACAGAGCCGGAACCAAGACTGAAGGTGTAACCCTGCGACGACCGCTGCGTAGCCTGGTCGTCAGCCCAAGAAGCGTCCGCGTGCCCAGTGAGGACCACTGGACTCCGCCCTCCAAGCACTAGCCCCATGCCCGACGTACTGCACAAGTAGCGCAACACCCTCTTCGCTGCAGCCATGTGCTCTGGTCGGTGTCTCCCAGGAGCAACATAGCGTGCAAGAATGCTAAGAGGGTATGCAAGGTCAGGTCGTGTGCAGGTCATCAGGTACATGAGGCAGCCAACAAGCTCTGGGTACGGGCCACTCGACTCTACGGACTCATCCGAAGGTAGAGCTGAGAGCGAGTGGCGAGTAGGCAGAGGAGTGGCCTGAGGCGAGGAGTACGTGAAGCCGAAGCGCTGAAGGACCTGCTGCACCATGTGTGACTGAGTCAAGGTAATGGTGCGGCGTGCTCTGTCCCGAGTGATCTGCAAGCCAAGGTAGCTGCGCAGTTCACCCAGGTCTGTGCACGTGTGTCTCTTCTGCAGCTCGGACTTCACGTAGGCTAGTCCAGCAGTGTCAGCTGTGGCAAAGACCAA